GCACCAATGGCGATAAACACCAACTCAAAGCGTCCATCTCTATCTGTTTTGATATGAGTTACCGACTTAGGATTTTTCAGCTTTAAATTGTGACAATAAGCCGGCAGTTGGGAAAACGATGCTTCTGGCGACCCCCTCAACAATTCCAAGGCATAACATTTGGCTCTCCAAGATTGAGAATATGAGATACTAATCTTGAACCGAGCATTCATGTCAGTCATAATTTCATGTCCCCGATATACCCTGCCATTCAAAAACATTAACTCAGCCAGAAAACCACCCAACACCTTTTTGTTTGCCTGTCTATAGTGAGGAAAAACTTGGGTTCTTGAACATGTATGTTTATCAATAAAAGTCCTAACTTGAAACATTTCGCAATCTTTTATCCTCTTTGTAATCATACGCCACGTACAGTTTTTGTCAATCATACACCTTGTTTCGAAACGATCTTTGCTTGATTTGTTAACTTTTAGTTGATAGCCATATTCCACACATTTCGTATACAAAGCTATCTTCAAGTCTTCCTTTGTATCAAAACAATCATCTTTCTTGATACGAATAATTTTTGTGTAACAATCAACTGCTATCTTTACCAACTCTTCTTCCGGTATCTGAAGTAATTCTGGCATATTCCAGTTATACTCCCGTGGCATTTTCTTCGGGGACTTTTCTTTGGGGATTTCTTCTTCTTCAGGGTTATATGAATTACAGAATGGATGTTCAACATGTTCATTTACAGTCGTAACTTCCTCCTCATTATCATCAACAACATCTTCCTCGGCAACGGCTGTTTCATCATCAAAATTCGGGTATTAACCAATATCAAAATCATTACACGCATGGTCTGTTTCTTCTTCTGAAAAATCATCAAAATTCGAGTATTGACCAATATCAAAGTCCGGGTATTGACCAAGATCAAATTTCAAATACTGACTAGTACTCACAATTTTTTCTGTTGGCTCATCATCGTCTAACTGGTCAATACAAAAACCGGAATTTGGTGCTGAAAGTTGATTGGGATTTGGATTAGGGAAAGGTTGTGGGTTTTGAGATTGTGTTTGGTATTGGAAATGTGGTGAAACAATATTTGCTTGGTGATGAAATTGTGGTGGAACCATTAAATTTTGAGCACCATAAACTGGGGTTGAAAAACTTAGTTGATTACTACCCGCTACTGACCCTACTTCACTACTTCTATGTTCAACAACATACAATGTAACATCATCACTTGAAACACCAATATAAGCAATGAATCGTTCAACATCTTCATTGTCGGTTAACAAATAAACTTTACGATTTCTCTGATAAGATAGCCTAAATCCACTTAAGGGCTCTAAATTCAATTTATTTGCAACACGTAACATTAGAGTTTCATAAGTTAACTTTTTTAATGACAGTTATTGTTGAGTTAATCAATTGATGGATTTGGCCAAGAGGGGGGGTGAATTGGCAATTAAAAATTTGGTGGAAGCTTTTGCAGAAAATTGAAAGTAATTGCACAACGATTTAGAGTGGTTCGACTTTCTCAATCAAAGTCTACGTCCACTACCTTAGCTATCCACACTAAGGATTTCCCAGCAAATTCACTAATTTGTTCTTTCTTTTGAGGCCAAAGAGATAACCTTACAACACCCTCAAGAATATACCCCAATTCTTGAGAACACTCTTTCTCAAAGAGAAGATTACAAATTTGCAAACTTACAAGGAAAACCTCACAAGGTAAGATGTTTGCACATTTCTAGAACAAGAAAAGAACACTCAAAGATAATTACAAATGAGCACAAATGGTGTTCTTGAAAGCAAAATGAATATTGAAAGGAAAATTGGCTTGATTTGCACAAACTTGGTGTTTGATGCTTTCTCTCTTGTTTCTCTATGATTTCTTTTTGATCAAGGGCTTCAGAACTTGTTTAAATACACCCTTGAATCACTTCTGAACATTGGGGATAATTAATGAAGATAATATAGCCGTTTAAGTGTGAAAACATTTAATAAAAATGCTTGGAGCGTGGGGGGAATCGGTTCCCCCTCATAGGGGATCGGTTCCCTAAGTGTAAAATTCAAATATTTCGACCGTTGAACAGGGGGGAATCGGTACCCTGGGGGAATCGGTTCCCTCCGAGCATTCTGGAAATCTCGGAGCCAAACCATTCAGGGGGGATCGGTACCCCCTTGGGGGGAATCGGTTCCCTCTGAGCAATCTGGAATTTTTGGCTTTGAAATGGTTCGAAATACTTTGAAAGATTATTTTGAAATTGTTTAAAGATTAAAACTTAATTTTACACTTAAGTAAGGATTAAAAATGATTTTTGAAATATTTGGAGTAATGTTTTGATATTCGAATAATTATATCGAATATACTTAGAAAATCATTTTGGAAAATCTTAAAATTCATTTAACTTAATTTGTTATATCGAAATATCAAAATGTTTTCAACAATCTCCCCCTTTTTGATATAACAAAACATTTTTAGTAATTTTAAGATTTTGAAATCAAGTTTTGAAATTACTCCCCCTTACTTTAACACTTCTCCCATTTATCATTTTTAAAACACACTTAAAACACACACTTCTCCCCCTTTTTGTTAAATCAAAAAGATTCAAAGAAACGTGAAAAACATTTAGCCAATTGATTAGGTATATGTATGCATAAGCTGCTAAGATCACAATCAAGAGAAACGTTAGCCATTAGTTCCATAATCAATATTCATAAACAATGTGATATGGTAAAATTGGTCATATTGCTAATAATGATAAATGATGCAATAATGAATAAATCACACCAAACATATAAGTTCACACCATCCATAAATCAAAACAAATTCATTAATCCACAAATTCAAACATTCCAAAATATTCAAAATGTTAAAATAATAAATTTGGAGTTCAAAGTAAAACATTTAATCACATATCTGGGTCAGGATGAGGAAAACGAGCTCGTATAGCGGCCATTTCGTTAGTGAGGTCATTAATACGTGCGTTGGTTGCTTCATTATTTGCACGTATTTCCCGAAGAATTTCTAATTGTTGAGTTCCCATTGTGGATAAATGAGACTCTATAGAATTAAAGCACAAATCCATGGTCGCATATCGGTAATCAAATGTCTCCATAAAAGATTGAAAATATGGAGGCATTTGAGTCGATTGTTGTGCTTGCTCTTCGGGCTGCTCCTCGGGCTGCTCAGGTTCATCTTCAGCTTCATCGATGTCTCGCATTAATTGCTCAAGCTCGAGATCTTCGTCAGCTTTGGGTGGAGCTTGTGAAGAACTAGCTCCCGGAGTAGTTGCAGAAGATCGAACCCATTCACCGGTTTCTTTATTTTTGACCCATCCCGCTCTTGTTAAAGAAAGAAGATTGATTTGTTTCTTAAGAGGAAAAGCGGCATCTAGACCAACTCGAAGCTCGGCTTTAGAAAAGAGATTACTAAGGATACAACCGTAAACTAGTGAAGAACAGAGTTTCTTATTTGGCACTAGGTTAACGGTTTCAACGATCTCAGCAAAGATAATCTCGGAAAGGTTTATTTTTATGTTGTGTTCAAAACAATGCAACCACCAAAGGTCTAAAGCTCTGAGAGTGGAATAACGACCCCCGGATGGTCGAAACCACCAAGTGATCATGAGATGAAGAAAACGCTCATGAAGATCTAGAACACTTGCACTATCATTTCGTTTATATCGTGAGCCTAAAACTTGTTTTTCATTTGATAAACCTTCATTATCCAAGCCTAAGGCATTGGCTATGTAATCCGGATCAAGATGGAAATATTAACCTAGGAGGTAGGAACGTACTCCTATGGTTTTGGTTTTGTCACGATTTTTGATACAAACGGCATTACAGTAGAAGATACGAACAAGTTGATGATAGACAACGGGTTCAAGTTCGAAAAGTTTATCAAATTTCCATTCGTGCAAGATAGGGAGATATTTAAAGTTAATAACAACCATAGCTTGAAGAGATAGGATACGTTCTTCCCTAATCTTATAAGAGTCAAAATATTGGTAAAACCAATAACGATAATCTTTAGGACCCGGTTGATTGAAACAAGAATTTTGGATAGTCAAGTTAGGATCAAGATTTGGAATAGGATTTTGAGGAATAGGAGGAGGATTTGGAGGAGGATTTAGTTGAAGACTAGAACGACGAGATGAAGACCTAGCACGTTTAGGAAATCGGAATAGATTGGATAACCTGCAATTCAATTAATCCCAAAACTCAATTGAGTCATCAATATTTCAAGGTTCTCTAAATCAATCATAATGGGCAAAGTTTTTGAAAAACTTTTGAAAAATATGGTTTTAATAAACAATATATGTATAGTTTTCATAACAACAACATAATCTAATCAAAACACAATAATTTGAAAAACAACAAATTTTTTTTTTAATTTCGAAAATTTTAAATTTTTGGAAAATTCTTGTGTTTTTGATGAAATTAGTTGTAACATCTAGTTTCTAATCACTAAACAATCAATGCCCGATCACTATTTCAACCTAGAACTAATTAAAACTAATCCTATGTTCAAAATCAATGAAATAGAGAGTTTAGAAAAATTTACCTTGAAAGATGAAGATTGAGGGGATTTAGATGTTGTTTGCACGATTTTAATGATGATTGCAAGTTTAGGAGATGATATTTGAAGTGAATTCCGATTAAAATCAATGATTTGAGGCAAGAATGGAGATTTGAGTGTTTGAGGGTGAGAAACTGCGGAAAAGGTTTTGGGATTTTGGGGTGTTCTGCCCGATTTTAACAGAACCTCAGGGGGGTATCGATTCCCCTATGGGGGGAATCGGTTCCCCTTCAAAGGGGGAATTGGTTCCCTCATGGGGGGATCGATTCCCTCTGCACTAAAATGCTAAAAATCCGACTTTTAAGCACACAAAATGCTAAATTAATCTTCTCTAGTGGTATAGGCAACTCATATATTGAAAAATAATTATGTTCAAACAATTAAATCAATCTTTAATCAATATTTGAACATAAAGTTAATTTTTCATCAAGAATCATAAACTCCCCCTAACTAATAGTAATGAATGCAATCAAAAATTACTATTATGAGCATTTTTCAGTATTTATTAAAAGTGCTGAATTATTTTAAACACTAAGTGAAGATAGGTCAGTTAAACCTAATTCTCTTCTAAGTGTCCAAAATCTTTCCTTATCTAAGGGTTTTGTAAAAATATCCGCTAATTGATGCAAAGTATCAACAAATTCTAGAACTACATCTTCCTTAGTGACATGGTCTCTAATGAAGTGATGTCTAATTTCAATGTGTTTAGTTTTAGAGTGTTGGATGGGATTTTTAGTGAGACAAATAGCACTAGTATTGTCACACTTGATAGGAATAGTACCTACTTCAATTCCATAATCGAAAAGTTGTTGTTTCATCCATAAAACTTGTGCACAACAACTACCGGCTGAAATATATTCTGCTTCAGTGGTAGATAATGCAACACAATTTTGTTTCTTTGAAAACCAAGAAATCAGCATATTTCCAAGGAATTGGCAAGAACCGGAGGTGCTTTTCCTATCTAATTTACATCCTCCATAATCTGCATCAGAAAAAGCATGCAAGCTAAAGCTAGAGTCTCTAGGATACCAAAGTCCTAAACTAGGAGTGTCCTTAAGGTATCTAAAGATTCTCTTAACAACTAGTAAATGTGATTCCTTAGGGCATGATTGAAATCTAGCACATAAGCAAACACTAAACATAATGTCTGGTCTACTTGCAGTTAGATAAAGTAGAGATCCAATCATTGACCTATATAATTAACATCTACACATTTACCTCCTTCATCTAAGTCAAGCTTTGTTGAAGAGCTCATTGGAGTGTCATGAGGTTTCCCATTTTCCAGTCCAAACTTCTTGAGCATATCTTTGACGTACTTAGCTTGATTAATGAAGATGCCATCTTTTCTTTGCTTGATTTAGAGTCCCAAGAAAAATGAGAGCTCCCCCATCATGCTCATCTCAAACTCACTTTGCATTAGCTTAGAAAATTCTTGGCAAAGAACATCATTAGTAGAACCAAATATTATATCATCAACATAAATTTGAACTACTAATAAATCTTTACCTTTATGCTTTAAAAACAATGTAGTGTCAACCTTTCCTTTTGAAAAACCTTTTTCAATTAAAAAATTTGACAATCTTTCATACCAAGCTCTAGGATCTTGTTTTAAACCATAAAGAGCTTTTGTCAATTTAAGAACATGATCTGGAAATTTTGAATCTTCAAATCCTGGAGGTTGTTCCACATACACTTCTTCTTTTATAAAACCATTTAAAAATGCAATTTTAACATCCATTTGATATAATTTAAATTCATGAAAACATGCAAATGCTAATAACATTCTAATTGCTTCCATCCTAGCTACGGGAGCATATGTTTCATCATAGTCTATACCCTCTTCTTGAGTATACCCTTGAGCAACAAGTCTAGCCTTGTTTCTCACTATACTACCACTCTTATCAAGCTTATTCCTAAATACCCATCTAGTACCTACAGTAGATTTATTACTAGGCCTTTCAACTAATGTCCATACTTTACTTCTCTCAAATTGATTTAATTCTTCTTGCATAGCCATAATCCAATGTTCATCATTTAATGCTTCTTTAATATTCTTAGGCTCTATGCATGAAATAAATGCAACATAATTATAAATATTTCTAAGAGAAGATCGAGTTGTTACCCCTTTGGATGGATCACCTATAATCTCACCACCCTTGACATAGTTGTACTCTCTTGGATAAGATACTTCCCTTTCTTCAATGGTTGGATTCTCAAGAGGATCATGAGTTTCTTCATTTTTCGTTTCTTCCTTTGATGATGGTTCTCTAACTTCATGTCTAACATCATTTGTATTTATAACACCTACATCATCATTCACACAAGAATCCTTCCTTGGAAGGGGATTATCATCGAAACAACATGTATAGACTCTTCTACAACTAAAGTTCTTTTATTAAATACTCGATAAGCTTTAGAATTTAAGGAGTAACCCAGAAAAATTCCTTCATCACTTTTAGCATCAAATTTGCCAAGGTTTTCTTTGCCGTTGTTTAAAACAAAACATTTACATCCAAAATGATGAAAATAGCTAATGTTAGGCTTTTTATTTTTGAAAATTTCATATGGAGTTTTCTTTAAAATTGGCCTAATCATTACTCGATTAACAACATAAAAAGCAGTATTTGTGGCTTCCGCCCAAAAATATTTTGGCAAATTATTTTCACAAAGCATGGTTCTAGCCATTTCTTCTAAAGTTCGATTTTTCCTCTCAACAACTCCATTTTGTTGAGGGGTTCTAGGTGCTGAAAAATTATGACTAATACCATTAGAATTACAAAATTCAATAAATCCAAGATTTTCAAATTCAGTGCCATGATCACTCCTAACACTAGTTATAGAGTAACCCTTTTCATTTTGGATTATTTTTGAAAATGTGATGAACTGTTCTAATGCTTCATATTTAGTACTTAAAAATAGAACCCAAGTATATCTAGAATAGTCATCTACCAAGACAAATGCATATTGTTTTCCACCCAAGCTAGTAGTCCTAGTTGGCCCAAAAAGATCTACATGGATCAATTGTAATACTCTACTAGTTGATACGTCATTAATGGATTTAAAAGAAACACGCTTTTGTTTTCCTTTAGCACAAGCATCACAGATTTTATCATTATCAAATTTAAGCTTAGGCAACCCTCGAACTAAATCACCTTGAATTAGCCGTTGCAAAACACTCATACTAGCATGTCCTAGTCTCCTATGCCATAACCAACTATCATGTTCATCCTTAGCAACTAGGCATAAATTAGTCATATCAAAAGAATCTAAATGCACCATGTAAATGTTCCCTATTCTATGACCAATAAGTATAATCCGATTAGATGCAATGTCAATGACTTTACAACCATTAATTTCAAATAAGACATTGAATTCTTTATCGCATAATTGACTAATACTCAATAGATTATGCTTTAATCCATTCACATATAAACATTCTTAATTTGTATGGAAGAGGTATTACCTATTGTACCAATACAAATGTGACCTTTTGAATTGTCTCCAAAAGTCACTTCTCCTCCATTTTTGGCGTTAAGCTCAATGAACCGGCTTTTGTCTCCGGTCATGTGTCTTGAGCATCCACTATCAAGGTACCATGAATTTGAATTTGTTTCCCGTGCCTTGTAGCAATGCTTCTTTCCCTACAAACATAGATTAATTTTTGATTTTTGGTACCCAAATTCTTTTGGGTCCATATTCATTAGTTTCCAAAATCCTAGTCCCCTTAGGTATCCATTTGTGTAGGATATTTTTATCTTTAGTAGTAATGAGTTCTTTAGGAACCCACATACTTCTAACGATTTTTCCATTAGAGGTTCTTTGGGGACCTCTATGATTGTAGTTTCTAAAACTTTTTCTAACAAAGTTGGATTTTGAATTTCCACCTTTTTCAAAATATTTTGTTCCAACTTTATCAAAAGAAGTTTTAAGATCATCAATTTTCTTTTGATGATCATCATTGATCTTTGAAAGTAAATTTTGCAAATCTAAATTTTTCTTTTCAAACTCTTCTAGTTTGATTTGCAAATCTTTGATTTTACTTTCAAGATCGTTATTGGTTTTGGATATGAGTTTGTTTTCATTTTTCAATTTTGAAACATCGTTTTTATATTTTAAAAATAATTTATCATAATCCGAAGCCAACCCATTATATTCCTCTAATAACTCATCATAGGATAAATCATCAAAATCGGATGAGTTAGAAGTTACCTTAGAATCTTCCCCAAATGCCATCAAGCACAAGTTAGCTACTTCTTGTTCCTCTTCATTGGAACTTTCTTCATCGCTCCATGTAGCCACATGAGCCTTGTGCTTATTCTTTGATTGACCCTTTTTCTTCAATTGTGGGCAATCATATTTAACATGCCCTGGCTTTTTGCATTCGTAGCAAATGATTGGGTCCTTCTCTTTCGGTTCATTTTTTAGGCCTTCATTTCGTTTGAATTTTCTTCCTCGATAAGGTCTCATCATTTTTCTGAACCGTTTGGCAAACAATGCCATTTCCTCGTCATCGTCATCGTTATTCGAATCACTCTCATCTTTTGTGGATTTGAGAGCAACTCCAATGTTTTTCTTCTTCTCCTTCTCCTTTGGTGTCTCGTCAATTTTGTCGAGGTCCACCTCATCTTCGAGCATCATTTCATGAGTGAGGAGTGACCCAATTAGCTCTTCAAGAGTTAAGGACGTTAAGTCCTTAGACTCGATGATTGTCGTCTTCTTTGATTGCCACGATTTTGGGAGGGAGTAGACTAACTTTCTCACAAGCTTTTCATTTGAAATGATCTCTCCATATGATTTGAGACCATTGACAATCGTTGAAAATCTATCCGTCATAGCTTTGATATCTTCATTTGGTTTCATCTTGAAATTTTCATAGCTATGCGTTAGAATACTAATTTTAGATTTCTTTACCTCATCGGTACCTTCATGAGTGACTTGAAGTTTGTCCCATATTTCTTTGGCGGTTGTACACAATGAAACTCTTTCGTATTCATCTGGTCCAAGAGCACAAAAAATGATATGGATGGCTTTGGAGTTGAGCTGGAACATTCTTGTCTCTCATTCACTCCACAACCTTGGATGAGTGAGAGGTTAGATGTATCCTTCTTCTACAGCATTCCATGCTCCCATGTCACTTGCTTGAATGAAGTACATCATTCTATTCTTCCAATAAGCATAATTAGCTCCATTGAAGAAAGGATGCTTGTTGACGGGCATCGAATCGAGACCGGAGTCGAAGTTTGAAACGGAGGCCATTGATGACTTTGATAATTGATATAACTCTTCTCGAATCGACTCAAGAGGCGATTAAACCTTCAAATGAGTTAGGCTCTGATACCAATTGTTGAGTTAATCAATTGACGGATTTGGCCAAGAGGGGGGTGAATTGGCAATTAAAAATTTGGTGGAAGCTTTTGCAGAAAATTGAAAGTAATTGCATAGCGATTTAGAGTGGTTCGACTTTCTCAATCAAAGTCTACGTCCACTACCTTAGCTATCCACACTAAGGATTTCCCAACAAATTCACTAATTTGTTCTTTCTTTTGAGGCCAAAGAGATAACCTTACAACACCCTCAAGAATATACCCCAATTCTTGAGAACACTCTTTCTCAAAGAGAAGATTACAAATTTGCAAACTTATAAGGAAAACCTCACAAGGTAAGATGTTTGCAAAATCCTAGAATAAGAAAAGAACACTCAAAGATAATTACAAATGAGCACAAATGGTGTTCTTGAAAGCAAAATGAATATTGAAAGGAAAATTGGCTTGATTTGCACAAACTTGGTGTTTGATGCTTTCTCTCTTGTTTCTCTATGATTTCTTTTTGATCAAGGGCTTCAAAACTTGTTTAAATACACCTTGAATCACTTCTGAACGTTGGGGATAATTAATGAAGATAATATAGCCGTTTAAGTGTGAAAACGTTTAATAAAAATGCTTGGAGCGTGGGGGGAATCGGTTCCCCCTCATAGGGGATCGGTTCCCTAAGTGTAAAATTCAAATATTTCGACCGTTGAACAGGAGGGAATCGGTACCCCCTATGGGGGAATCGATTCCCTCCGAGCATTCTGGAAATCTCGGAGCCAAACCATTCAGGGGGGATCGGTACCCCCTTGGGGGGAATCGGTTCTCTCTGAGCAATCTGGAATTTTTGGCTTTGAAATGATTCGAAATACTTTGAAAGATTATTTTGAAATTGTTTAAAGATTAAAACTTAATTTTACACTTAAGTAAGGATTAAAAATGATTTTTGAAATATTTGGAGTAATGTTTTGATATTCGAATAATTATATCGAATATACTTAGAAAATCATTTTGGAAAATCTTAAAATTCATTTAACTTAATTTGTTATATCGAAATATCAAAATGTTTTCAACAGTTTTAGTTGAAGATTCATGGGTAAAGACATATATTGTAAAACACCATGAACATTCTCCCATGACCCTCCAAAATACAAATCTATCCAAACATGATCAACATTAGATGATTTCATTATTGTAAATTAATTTACTAAACAAACGAGCTGCGAAACTAAAACCTGTTGCCGGATGGGGAAGGATGTCGTTGGATATAGGAACGGATGTCGCCGGAGAGAGTGATAGATGGAGATGGAATGAGTTGATATTTAGGGATTTAGGTTATGGGTTACTGCTGCTGCGTAGTTATATACCCAAAACATTTGTGTTGCGAAACTAAAACCTGTCGCGAATTCAGAAATCGAGTTGCGAATTTGAAATTCAGTATTGCGATAGTCAGAATCTCGTTGCGATAGTCAGATTCGCGTTGCGATTTACGTATTCATATTGCGATTTACGTATTTGCATTGCGATTTACGTATTCGCATTGCGATTTACGTATTCGCATTGCGATTTACGTATTCGCATTGCGATTTACGTATTCTCATTGCGATTTACGTATTCGCATTGCGAATTTGGAAAATCGCAATGCGATAGTCAGAATCGCGTTGCGAATCTGGAAACTGATTTGCAATACCGGAGATCGCGTTGCGAATTATCGATCGCATTGCGATTTAGTTGGTCATTTTGGCAAATCCAACAAAAGTTGGTTAAAATCGTATATTATAAGGCATTTTTGGTCACTGAGGTTATTTTCTCTTATTTTTTAGCTTTTTTTTCTTTTCTGATTTAGACTTTATTAAAAGAGACCTACATTTCTTTCAGGTTTTTGGCTCTCTATATAAAGAGTCCATTAACCTCCGTAGGATTATTTGTCTATCTATCTATCTTTAACAATTTCTTCTTCTCTCTTATATTTCATCCCACTATGAGTGGCTAAGCTTTTTATTTCCGATTCAAGGATGAAACGATTCAGCTGTTATTTTGTGAGGTTTGTGCTAAACTAGTATTTCTCCTTTAATTCAAGTAATCTTTATTTCTTGTTCTTATTTTATGAATTCTTGATATTGATTAAATTGACGACTTAATTCGATATTGAGATTTCTATCGCTAATCACAAGTAGCAAGGGGTAAGTCTCATGATTTGTGTTTGTTCGGTTTATTATTCGAACTTCGCATCGCGTATGATAGTCTTCGGAGAAGTAAATGTACGAAATTAATTGATTTCATTTTAGTCGTTCCCACGATTCTTAATGCTATCATTAATGGTAAGATTTGATTTGAATGATTGTTGCAAATGAGTAGGCTAATCAATTATAAATGGGGAACCATACTTATTACGGTCTCGAGCAAGTGATTGAAAATTCGATCTTTTAAGCCTATGATCAAAATTATAGTCGGATGAGGAACACACCTTTGAATTGGAAGTTTGGTAAGAATTGATTTTCGTTATTTTATTTTTAGCTTTATTTTTTTATTTTAATTTCATAAACCAAAACCCCATTCTACTTTTATTGTTTTAATATTGAGATTTTAATTTTAGCTCTATTGGGATTAAACCTGATTTCGCTATTACTAAAGTTTAGTAAAATCAGTTTTTATTTTGCAGTACTCCGACAACCCTGTCAAAAACCAAAACCAGGAATATGCAGAATGCTCTAGTAATCTCCATTGAAGCAAATGAAAAGAATACTGCATATAGAAGCAAGGTGGCTCATGGGATAGGAATGTTGCAGCAACATATATCAATCTATATATGGCACACATGTTTTGACAGTTATGGTTTTCTTGCGCCATTAATGCATCTTCTGTTATTCTCAAGCCAACTTATCTTGAAAATAAAAAGATTCCTTTGAGCTCTTGTTGTTTATTCATTGTCAGTTTATGGTTCTTACTATTGAACCTTTTCCATCACTCTGAACTTTCAATGAAAACTTCTCAAAGTTCCAATTTATGGTTCTCAAACTTGCACTATTTCGGCACCATCGTCAGAAAAATGGAAAAAGACGAGGCAGGATAAACTGTAAAGCTGAAGTTTCTGCAAAATTTTTGTGATTAGAACTCAACCTTTAAGGAGTTTGTAGAACTATGAACTTGGAACAGTGACTATATGACAGGAAAAAAAGAAAAGAATTTTAGTTCCTATACATTCAGCCCCACTAAAATGACAAGTTTTGATACTGTTGTTAAATCTATATCACAATAGGACTCCCAAACTACTTAATATCCTACTGTTATCTCTTGAACACAAAGTAGCAGAATATTTCTGTAATGTTATGTTAATGAATCCTCAGGTAGCATCTCGGAGCATGTTCCCAAATAAGAAGACGCCTTCCGTTCATCTTATCGGCTTAAATCTGCATCTGTAATAATACATGTAATTAGACATTCAATGAACAATTGAATGAACAATTATGGTATATAATTTAATATCAAATTAGAGCAATAAAAAGAAGTATCATTGGATAATGCCATATCCATTTCCAGATGTCTTTACAAGCACTTGTATGAAAAGTGCAGAGAGGACAGTCATAAAGGTATGTTTGGTAACTTGTTAAGTTTCATTACCTGGTTTCTGCTAAAGTTCGATTCAAAGTCTTCGTTTTCATCAAAGAAAATGTCAGGATGGACGGCAGCGGTGCTAACATTGAGAGCCCTCTTCAACTTCCGGTGGTCCAAGACTTCGACTTCCAGCAAAAACGTTGAACTGATGGGTCGATGATCCGAGAGTCTTATTTCTGCTCGCTGGTAACAAAGTTGATTTATGCCTTTTCCTGACCAGAGTATGCGATCGCACCTATCAAAGGAATTAATGCATGTTATAAGCAATTGAACAATGAGGAACTTCATGAATAACCAGTGGCATTGTGCCGGGAAATGTTCGGTTTCCGTAAACCTTTTCTGACTTTAATGGTGTCATATCTACTTTACAAAAGCTATTACTCACCAAGCCGGAGATCTCTTCTTCTCCCCTTCTCTAGGGATCTCACCGACATATCTATCCGAGTCCATTTCATACTTGTATGTGGGAGGAAAGTTTATTACCCCTTCTTTCCAACCATCAAATACATGTCCACTACTCAGTTCATTATGAAGCTATGGAATGCAACAGAATTGAAGCCATTAAGTTTTGTTATTAAAAAAGTTTGTATGCTGCAGTAAAACTAAATCACTGTGATGCTCACCTGATCATTGTTGATAAGTTCGTCCCAGCACTCTAAAGCAACGAGCCTTCTCACCTCGGCATCCAACATATTGAGACGATAATTTAAATCCCCGAACCAAAATATCTGACTGTTCAGAGAAAGCAACCATTTACAAACTCATATCTCATGTTGGATCAAGGATATAATCATAAGAAAAAAGCCTCAACAATCTAAGTTACTCAATAATCAGAGCCGTATCTGGGCCTGGGTAGGAGGGGCACCTGCCCAGGGCCCAAACTTTTATAGTATATATATTTATAAAAAATAATTTTATATTAATTATAGGATTCAATTATTTTTAATACTTATTATAAAAGTTAACTTTTCTCTAATATTTATTATTGTGCGTTAAATTTTTTCCTAATATTTATTATTAGGGTCCTACTTTTATAACTTTTTTTCTAATATTTGTATAAGTGTCTACTTTTTTTTGTTAATATTTTTTCTAACATTTGTTACTAAAGGCCCAAAATTTTCAATATTTATTATCAGGAGCCCAATTTTTTCAATATTTGTTATTAGGAGAGTAGCTTTTCAATATTTTGGTAACATTTGTTACCAAAATCTCAGAAACGGGCCTGTCAATAATTCAACAACGATTAGTAAGTTACTTACTCATGAGATGGAATTGTTAGGGGTTGTTCTGTATCAAGGGCAGAGGAGAAACGGGTACGTCGAATAATTTCATACACGTCAGAGTTACGTTTTTGTTCAGCTCCGACCTGATGACCTGATGTCAGATGAGAACACACAAAGCACAGCCTGGATTGAAAAAGTGTCATGCTAACTGAAACCGATCCCTGCAAAAGTGAAAACCATAAAGGCAATCAATATTAGTACCTATTGCAACACATCAACATTTGGATGGCATTGATCCATCAAACCTAAGAACCAAAGAAGCTCAATATCGAATTGAAATGATGGAAGCAGGGACCCTAGAGAGATGCCACCAGTATAATTCCCTTCGAAGGTATTTACAGAAGCTATGAGCTAGTCATTACCTTGTTTCCCATGTACCCCATAAGACCAATTCCGACCGGAGAGACTTCCAAATTGTTTATATGTCTCCTCAGCCTCTTTCGTACCCATATCGATATGTATATTCCAACCATCTGCTTGCTTACTATCCTTACATACATCGGACGTGACCCTGCGCCATCATTGTCATGTTGCTCCATTGGTTCCTCCAAGAAAGTATCATCCTTCTCTTCGGGAAACTCGTCAGATACTTCAGATAAAGAATCAACAACTTCAAGATTTGGTAGCTCATGCAGCAACATTGACTCTAGGTTTCCGGAGCTATGGTGTGATCTTTGCAGTCTGCTTCCTGTTAACACCGCAGGCTGCGGACTACAGAAGATGGAGCTTTCCGCCAGAGTAAAGCCTATTCTAGCTGAGCTGCTCAGTACTCTACGTAATTTCGAATGTGTAGAGACAACTTGTGGGGTTGCATCTAACGAGTGTTCTGGCCAGTCCAACCGAGTGTCAAAATCGACACCATATATTCTCTTCAGATTTAAATTTTGTCCAATATCAGAAAATTTCTTCAAATCATTTTCTTCAAGTCGCAGCCATTAGCAGTCTCCAGATACTCGTCGCACATCATTTGCAACGGCAGAGCATCTATTTCGTCTGCTAATACATCAGCAACTGAAGAAGTCCGTAACACAGGAGAAGGTGGGGCACTATAGCATTTATGCTTGCTTTCAGGTTCCAAAGATTTGTTCAGAATTCTTCGAATGATCGACTCCCATTTAGGAATCGGCCTGTTATCCTCAGCTCCAAATACATTTCCAGCATTCAAAGGGACCACCTCCTGGAAGCTGTCCAAAGCAGATCCAGTATTAAAATATTGGAGGGGAAAAATGAAACATCTAACAACCAAACCAATATTCAAATAACTTGCATATGCACATGGGGCTTACTCATCCACAACAGGCAAAGATGTGGAAGATTAAACCTCAAATGATATAAGATTCACCAACGAAAGGAAAATACTCACCCGATAATGTAAATATCAGCTGGATCTTCGGAGGAAAGCCAATCATCAATCTCGAGATCCTCAGACGGAAGTCTTCCAGCAACATTCCAAGTGCCTATTGTCACCCTATAGGCAACCACAATATGTTCAGATAAGAATTAAAAAAACACCTTAAGGCTTACAGTTTAAGCATAAGCATCTAGTGGACAAACCTCACATCCTTTGTATTAATGTACTGTGCACGCAGAGTTTCCGATTTCCCCCTCCTGTGTCTTAACCGATAACCCGAACAGGGTGCATCTGAACATCAAAACCATACAAAACAAATTTAGAAAAACAAATTATTTAACAACAATTTACTTAAGACCGTAATAATACAATGATATGGACATTGCTGATATTTAAACAGCTTTACGTATCGAATTTTATTCCCCTGCCCCTATATCATCCGAAATTCACTTGCGTGGCTAAGAACCGGGCCACATGAACAGAAATCAATATATACCGCATAGCAGAAAACGAGAACGGGGAAGGAAACAAGAAGAATCAGCATAGATGAGTTTGAATATGCTCTTAAGCACAAAGAAATATTGAAGAAATTTTTTGCCTGAAATTCGGCTTCTGCGGTCAGATTGGTTTCCTAATGTCCTGCTGCAGGTATGGTCCTCACCACAGTGCAATCTCGAGTCTTTAACATAGCAGGCTGGATGAAAATTCAAGAAAAACACCATAAAAAGAAAGAAAGTACAAGGGAAAACAGTAATTGTTCAAGATGACATGACAATACCGTCATCTTCACTCTCGGTCTCGGTGTCGACCTCGTCTTCACTGAAATCATACACCTTTGGTTTTATATTCAACCATTTCTTCATCACAATGGATGGCCAAAAGGCCTAAAGTCAAGAAAATTAACCAAGTTCACAATTCAAACATCAGTTTTGATCTAAATTGCAGATTTGGATAAAAACAAAAACCAAGAAGCATACCTCGGAATGCTTTACCCTCCTAGCTTTCATGGTCTTTATTCAAAAGGATTTGCGAAAAGATATAAGCTTTCAAAGAACAGGTTCTTGAACTTGAAAATGGAAGCAAGAGCTGCGGTCTGAACCGGCTGATATTTACAGTTTTATGCGATCATTATATAGAATTCAAAACATACAGATACGACGAAGGCCCGAAATCGGCTTATTGGATGCCAAGCGCTAGGAAGATTCTTGCTAGGACCTAACAGACAAAGACAACATGATTAACAGGCATCCAAAACCTCAACTTGCATTTAAAAAAAAGATTTTTCAATGGTCCTCTTCCACAAGTCCTAATTTCTTGTGCTGGAAAACGGGTAAAAGCAATTTTTAATCTTATAAAATACTCAATAAAAACCATAAAAACATACCCAGAAAAAAAAAAGTCACTTTCAATACTACAAAACAACTATACTCCTAATTCAATTTACAACGCAACACGCTTTCAGTTCGAGCAAATGCACTGCAATTGACAGAGTTGTAAAAGGGAAAACAATACCACTTTTAACTGTTATGAAACCCTAACAAGATTGAAAATTGTAACAAATGTAAACCCAGACAAAATAGCAAACTTCACCTTAAGATGATACACAATCAGAACCCGGATCGTCAAACTAACCCTTAAACTAAACCCAAAAAATTTCTCACCACAAATGTTAAAGATGATGACAAGATAAACCAAAGGAGAATACTGATTAAGACAAGCAAGAGAAAACCGATCGTCATACTATTCAGCAGCCAGGATTTGGTTAGAGCCCACCATTATACTAAATAAACGACATGGCTTAAAACATGAAGCAATCCAAATAAACAAACTGGAAAGTTGACAATATAAAAGAGTTACTTAGTCAAATGGGTAATCGGCATTCAACACAAAGTAAACAACAGCAGCTGTAGACCCCAATTGGTTGGACGGTTTCATGCAAATATATTTTATAAACAGAACTATATATATATGGTACTATGATAATGAAATAAACCATTTTATTTAAGCATGTAAAATAATCAAAGATTAGATGTTTGAAAAGTTGACACATGAAATGTAACCAAAAGGGACCACAAAAGCTGGATCACCCGCACTATATGTGATCGTAAATAACTTTCTGGGTTTCAGGTTTCAACTGAAAAGTTCCATCTGTTTCCTTCAAAAATGAAAACTGAATGATTTTTTTCTTGATTTTCTTGGGGTTTTAACAATGGGATAAGGATTAACTAAGCACAAAGGCATCTCTTTCTATCCTTTGCTCTCTCCTATGTTACTATGTAAGTAGAAAAACCAACAGGGGACGTGTGAACCTATTATGTACGGCAAGTTGTACCAAAGACTAAGTGAAGTTGTAATTAAGACAAGAAGAATAAAGTTTGGAACTTTGAGTGTGAACTACAACTATTAGGCAGTGGCACTAAACTTGGGTGATTAGAACTTACAACTAGTCACCAATTTCAACTTGTCATCTCTTTTTATCATTTCTTTATTGAATCAGTCAAATACTTCATCTTTTTTCATATAAACTTGTATTTAATTTATTCTAATTTTATGTATGATATTATGTAAGAAATATATATATATATATATATATATATATTAAGAAAAAGGCTTTCACTTTCAAGGGGATCCATTACTTTTCCAACAAGAGTACAAATTGTTAATCTTATAATAACTGGAAAACATGTCAAGCCAGCTCAGAACCTAATAAAGAAAATCTGAGTTTCGTTCGTGAAAAATCAAGGGCTATGGTGTATATGCATTGACAAAAAAAAATCATAATTTTTAATTCGCATTGCCTACTTTAACATAATATCTTGGTTAAGGTTAGGTAGAAGTGGTGATTTGGAATCGATCATGCATTTTTTCTCCTTTTTTTCTTTTAGATCTTTGCAAATTATAGTGCTCCTAGTCATTGTTTCCTTAAAAATAAGGTTATATTATATCGACCACTCATCATTATACCTCTAACGAGTTGATTCAACATGTCATCTTATTTCCACATATTATTTTTTGAATAGATTAAATACATATTATACAATTAAAACAGAACTATAAGTCATGGTCATCAAATGACAAATCACACTAAAAAAGGATTTGGTCCCCAAGGAAGAATAATGTAGAAAGAGGCCAACTTCAAAGTATATATTGGCAAAGCTTTTTTTTTTTTTACACTTAAAATGTCCAACCATGTCTTGGCTTTAGTCCACATCAGCTGTTCCAAGCACTGCAAAGATCTATCTTTTGTTCCAAGCTTAACCCTTACTTTTCTTTTCCCCATGGTGACCACAGATTAAAAAGAAATGAAATCTCAGAAAGAGAAAATAAAGATAAAAGGATAAGAATGAAGTGACATGGAAGAACCAACTATTCTATGTACCCATCAAATTAATCCATTATTGCAAAATTGGGGTGAAATTATAAAATCGAAATTTCAAAAATTAATAAATAATATTTTTGGATATATTATAAATTTCATCACTCAACATTCTCCTTGCTCCTATTAATGTTTAAATTTTTTTAATTTTTTATTGAACTTTTGATATGTTCCTATTTTGGTCACACGATCTTTAAATCAAAAATAGATGAGTGATATAACAACTATGTGTGTTGATGTGGAATGTTGTTGACATGGCATCCCCATGTCATCCACATCCTTTTCTTTTCTTTTCTTTTCTTTTTCTTTTGGATTTCATCTTCTTCCTCCAAAGATGAAAGTTTTATAGTTTCATCTCTGTGACATTGAAATCATCATTCTTCAGCATCTTCTCTGACCACTCAAGACAATGTTGAACTCGTGTCATCTCTCCTACTACTCAATATGTTCAAATTTTACCAACGTCACTTTAAAACTCGTGAAATTCAACTCAAACCTCAAAACTCATAAAACCTTAAACAATTATGATATACAGTATCCATCACACGATCAACATGAGATCAAGAAATGCAACTCCCTTCCTCCTCTACCTCCCCATTGTTGGGATTTGGAAGAAGATGTTTCATCGTCCAGAAATCAAATTGAAAAATCAAGGGTTTTTTTTCCACAAAAATAAGAAATATTTTGGTCATTTCATGATTTTTTAATAGAGAAATGCTCAGTTATATTAAGGGTGGAGTGACCGAAATAGGAGCAAATCAAAAGTTCAGTGAGTAAATTGAAAATTTTTAAGTTTTAGTGACCAAAATAGGAGTAAGAAGAAAGGTGAGAGATAAAATTTAGAATTTACCCTATTTTATAAAAGTAATAATAATTTTTTTTTAATATAAAAAATTCTAAAAATATTTATTTCTTTATTTAACACCGTCCTGTCTATGAGTGGACAAAATACATGCACATCTATACAGCCTTCACTTGGAAGCAGTATCCAAATGCTTCGAATATATTTGTTTACACTTTATTGGCTTTATACCCTAAAGCTCATGCCTCATGACATGACAGTTGGATGTCTGAGGCAAAGTTAAATGCGATGCTGCAAATTCAGTTTGCTGTAATAAACAGATGCACACATTCCCCAACTGTGAATGGAAGGAACCCCAGGAACGTGAAGATCCAACTTTTTAGGGTTTAAAGAATAACTGTTAAAAAAAAGTGTACGTAAATATACATCTATGGATTATTATTTCAAATTTGCATGTGAATATGTGTTTTGCATCTTTGATCGGCTTACAGGTTTTACACATAAAGCAGTACTGCGGATGCTACAAATAATAATAATAATAATGTGAGTGAAATGTGCTGTCAAAAAATTGAAGAACTAAAAAAATTAGGTGATAATACCATTTAGCTTTTGTATTTTAGTGATAATCTTAATCTTACTTTCTTAAAAATTACTATTTTATAAAAAATATTCAATATTAATTCGATATTTTTAGTATTAAATTTATATTTGAGTTTGGGTCGGTCTCGGATTTAGATTTTTCAAGCTCTAACCTTTTCAAGTTTGGATTTTTTTTTAGATTTTTCAAACTCTAACCTGATAATTACATGCTCCAGTAAACTTTGAAAATGTACTAAAAAAGCCATTACACCGTTAAAACCCAAAGGGAAAATAGCAAAACCGACCCCCTGTTTTCCTTCTTGTTTTGTTTGGGTCTTTTGATTGTTGCAACTCAAGGATCACCACAAAGAAAAGGTACATGCAATTCGATAAGTGGATGTAATTAGTCATTTTCTTTTACAATTACACCACCACAACGCCATGTACAACTCAAAAACCCTTCACACTTAAATATAAAAAGTAGAAAAATATCCCCTACAATAATTCAATATCCTGTTTGAGGATTGTCATGGAAATGAACCATCAACAAGAAAGCTTTTGTTGATTAGTCATTCATGGTGATTTGTCATGACTAAGGCCATCGTTCTTTCTAATTATTTTAAATTTTCATGTAATTTATATATTTTTTTTATATTTTTAATTGATAATATATTTTCGTCCCTTAAAATTTTATAAGTTCGTGATAGAATATAACTCTGAGTTTGTTGTAATATCAGTCAGTTTCGTTTACCTGATTTCCAGTCAGTTGGGTAGTTACGCAGCAGACTCATAGTTATATTCTATCACGAACTTATAAAATTTTAAGGGGTAAAAATATTATTATTAATTAAAAATATAAAAAATATAAATTACATGAGAATTTAAAATAATTAGAAATAACGATGGCCTTAGTCCTGACAAACCACCATGAATGACTCATCGACAAAAGCTTTCTTGTTGATGGTTCATTTCCATGACAATCCTCAAACAGGATATTGAATTATCGTAGGGGATATTTGTCTTTATATTTAAGTGTGAAGGGTTTTTAGTTGTACATGGTATTGTGGTGGTGTAATTTTTTAGTCAAATAAATGCATGAACTTGATGAGTTTGGTCAAATTGACTCTTGAGCTTTTATAGCAATTTTATCGAGTTTAGGGACAATTTGACTCTACCAAAAAAGTTTATAGACCAATTTGATCAAACTTGCTAAGTTGAGGGATCATTTATGATTTAAGGCAACTTTTTTAAACCAACTAGTGGCGTTTGTGTGTTGGGAAATCAATCTAGATGGAATGGAAAACGACGGGACGTTTCGTTGACCTCTCTTTTGGGACTCTACTTTCAACAACTACTCTTCAACACATTGGTTCACACCCAAAGTTTTTTTTTTCTTTTGATGATGTTCACACCCAAAGGTTGAATATGGCTACTTAAGCACGATTTTGAAATGGGGTAAAGTACACAGATGGTCCCTGATTATAGAGTATTGTTTTTTAGTCCTCTAACAATTAAAAATGATAAAATAGTCCTATGACTACATGGAGTTGATTTAGGAGTGGCAACGGGGCGGGGTGGGGATGGTTTTGCATTATCCATTTCGTCCCCAACACTTGCGGGTACGGTTTTGAAAAATCTCCATTATATGTTTCGGGGATTTTTTTTCTCCTCATACCCATCCCTTATAAATCCCTACGGGTTTTGATTAATCCCCATCCCAAAAAATAAACAAACATTTTTTAAATCAATGTAACACCTAAAAATTGTAAGATATATCAGATTGTCTTAAATTGGTCTCTATCTATAATATGAAAGTTTCAAAAATCAATATTCATCTAACACCCAATGTATATGTATAATCTTAATCATTTTTAATCTCAACAAATCAATGTATATTAAATGAGAAAATATCTAAACTTCAATTTTAGTTTCTTTGAGGTGTAATAGTGGCAACACATAATCTCACAATCTTATCATTTATAATTTTTTATTGAAATATATATTAAAGGTATATAGGTAAATGATTATAAATATATTTTTAAAAATTTTGCAAAATATCGAGGACCTCTACGAATATTTTTCGGGGATCCCCACGGTTATTCACACGGGTACGGTTCGGTTATCCCCAAGGTTCAAATATAGCAATCCTCGTCACCATCCTTATTTGAGATTTGGGGATAAAACTTCCTCAGCCCCATCCTCGTGGGTGAAGATTTCAGTTATTTCCCATCTCTGTCGGTTCGGATCCCCACGGTTTTCGATTTTCCCCCACCCAATTGCCACCCCTAAGCTGCTTTGTTGAGTCACACGTTATTAAAAGTTCCAAAATGATCACTCGACTATTCATATGTTTCGAACTCG